ATCGGCAGGGCAGACTTTTTAAAGATCGGTGATCGGAAATCGGCGAGAAAACTGCAATCGGTGCACCCCTAATATATATATATAATTTTTCTTTTAATGGCCTTAGATACCTGAGTTGATGCTGTTTAGTTTGTATATCTTTTTTTTCTTGGTAAAAATAATTTTTTTTCCTCTCTTTCATTGAAATATTGCCACAACATGACAGAAGTCAAAGTTCTCTCTACAGAAAACCATGCTACAGATGCCTAGGTAATATTTAGTTTTTTGGGGGGTTTTTTTGCAGCAAACTTTAATATTATCTGTAGCATTATATACATTTACTGATTATGTCTCTTTTTCAGAATCAAGCTCCAAAAGTCTTTTATGCTTTCCCGAGCTGACCAAGAGGCCTTTTTCGAGAGGCTTTCTGAATCGTTTAACGATTTTCCTGACGACCAGAAGCCACTAATAACCAAAATGGGCCTTGGTAAGAATGTAGAATGGGTTGAGTGTGCTCTTGGTGAAGTTCCTAAAGGTTCTCCCATTTCTTACCAATACCCCCTGCCATCTAGTAAGGATTTTCAGCCCTGTGAGAATGCCCCCTCTCTGCCATCGCTTCCTTTGCCCTTTCACACACTGGAACCAATGTCCCTCTCTACTACTCAAACTCCTCAAGAGGAGGCTTTCTTAAATGCAATGACTGTCACCTGGGAAGAGGCCCATGGCCTGGAGATGAGTACCCGGGGAAGTAAAGAGGCTGCCGATAAGTTACTTATGATGCGCATCACCAGTCGTTTTAGAGAAATCTGCAAGCTCAAGCCTGGAAAAAGTCATGCCGACCAGTTTCTTTCTAAGATTCAGAAAGGAAATGCCAGATGCAAGACATCCCAGATTGATGAGGAAATGAAGTCGGGGGTTCTTCGGGAATACTGTCGAAAATTGTACATCAACTGGTCACCTTGTGGTTTGGTTGTTCACCCAAGTGCCCCGTGGTTGGGAGCCACCCCTGATGGGCTCGTGTTCGACCACAAAGAGACGAGCAGCTTTGGGCTGGTACACGTCAAGTATGTAAATGCAAAAAGCTTCATAGAGTGTCAGGCTCTGAAATGTAGTAATGGAGTCTTAGAGCTAAAGAGGGCCGACAAGCATTATTGGGAAATGCAAGGACAGATGATGGTGACAGGCACGCCATGGTGTGATCTAGTGCTGCATTCCAGAGAAGACATACTGGTCCAGCGGATCTATCGTGATGAGAGCCTCATCAAGTTGATGAAAAACAAGCTGGAAGAATTCTTCTTCTTACACTATCTGCCTAATCTGATTTAACCGAACACACACTTAGAATCTGATTTTCCTTTTCAGCATCTCAGGTTTCCTGTTGGATAAAAGTTTTTTTCACTATAGCTTCACAACATACAGCTTATCAAACCAGATTGTTGTGGAAAAACCAGCTTTTATATAACGTGATATTTACAGTTAAAAGTATTTTAACTTGTGCTCCAAATACAACAAATTTAAGTCTGTAGTTTGTTTGGTTTCTGAAGCTAGAAACACCAGGATTGTTTAACTGACCTTACCGGTGTAACTAAGGAACTGCTCTATATAATATTTGTTGTAGCTGGGGTGAAAATTAAAATAATACTAGGTTCTTGTAATGGTTTTACTTTGGAGTATTTAATTATTGTTCCTTTGTTTATTGTATAAGGTTTGGTTTATCTAAACTTTTGATATATTTTATTTTTCCTTTTTTTCTTATCAAAACTTGAGAAATGTTGTTAGAATTTTTTTTTCTTTAATGATTAAAATGACTTTAACATGTTTTTCCCTCCCTAAACCTTTTTTAAGCCAAAAGATTTTGAGAAATTAAAGTTGTCTTTTAAATTTTGCATAATGTCTCATGTTCCTTTTGCAGTCTTAAAAAGTAGGAATAAAGTATTTTCCTCTTATGGGTAAAGATGATGGAAATTTGAAATCTGTTATAATTTCAGGCATACTTTAATTGGGGCCCAGCAGTATGCAGATGTAATAGCTTTGATAATTAGATATAAATAAGAGCTACTTTTATGGCCTGACTTTATAGACATGTTTTCTTCATCAGCCATTTCTCTAATCTTAACACCTGCTGTAGTCTATTTACGGCCTATCTGTCCAATTTTTAACAGTCTACATAAAAAAAATCAAACGGTAATGGCCACACAGCAAATTATTACGTTAATAGTATAGGCTGCATAATCATTTTACAACAATTAACTAAATGGCATATAAAAAAATTTGTCAATATGCTCTATACAGAACTCAAGGGGAAACGTTTTAGTTTCACCTGGTTTCATTTCGTAAAAAATCTTTAAGGAACATTTTACTGTCCGATTGTTAATCGATTAAATAAAAAAAAAATATCGATAGATTGATCATTTTGCAAAATAATCGTTGCAGCCCTAATTGAATGCAAGCCTCCAATTGTTGATGTGTTTTAACTGAGTGGGGGCCCAATCAAACCAAAGTCAGTAATCCAGTTCAAGCCTGTGTAATGACATTAGCAATGTTATTTCATAGTGATATTTATAGTGATCAACAGCAACTGAAAGTCTCTGGATTCCTTTAGGTGTAGATGAGAAGATACTCTCAGAAACTGGTTTTATTACAAATGAAATTGATTGAGCGAGTTTGTGTTTCACTCACATATATATATAACAATGTCTTTGTCTATGTTTGAATGGGGTTTATTCATTCCGAATATGAGGACAGCAAAAATAAAACATAAAATATCAGGCCTTGTTTATGGGTGTTAAATAAATAAATAGCTCCCCTACACCTTTTTAAAAAATGACTTGCAAACGGGAGCTTTTTTTGTTTTGTTTTTCTTCAAAATTTTCCTCCACACCAACATAAATACACCACTGAGCTTTTCTTTTTATGCATCAGAAGCACGAGGATCAGTATACCCCCCCAAAAAACTCAATGGTAAGACTGCCACACTGGTTTAACAAAATGACCAATGAGGGAGCTGGTTACATCTGAGGAGATGCTCTGGGACAGGGGGGGCTAAGGAAAAGATAAATGGAGCGGGTAAAGAAAAGACTAAATGAAATTTCAAAAAGGATTTAAAAGTACAAGTTGAAAAAGAAAATCTTTTTTATTGTGTGATTAGGAAAGATTTCTAATCAGAATTAGGATTTTAGGTGTTTAAATTTCAGTTAAGAAATAGGATATGAAAATACATTTACAAATTACAGTATTTGATAATAGATTTATAAATAGAATGAACAATTCCTCTTTAATAATTCAATAAAAAACTTGGATCTTGAATTGCATGATTTAAATGTTAAATTTGAAATAAGTGGTTTTCTTTTTCAGTGACTCTAGGTCCTCCAAACAAAACCAGAGCGTTTGTACTGAGGTGTCAAAAAACAAATACTTCATTACTTTGCTTAAGTAAACATTTTCACTATCTATGGGGTAATTGTTTTGAGACTTTTTACTTCCACTCCTTACATTTTTATAGCAATTATCTCTTTCTATTCCTTATATTTAAATGAAAGGACTTGTTAGGTTTTTTTTTTTTTTTTTTTTTTGGATCATTTTCGTTATTGCCTGTTGGTTTAAATAAAAGAAATAAACATCAACATAATTTGTTTTATCCATACAATTAATTTATTTGTGGTGGGTCCTGCTCCTACTTATTGTTCACACCATAATAAATAGTTTTTCAAGATGATGCAAAATGAAATTTGACACTGTTGCTTTAAGTTATAAAACTAAGAAAATTATCAAGAATTGTAGAAACATTTTCCTTTAATAGGGAAGTGCAGTAAAACATCTATTTTTTTTTATGTTTTCCTGCATTACTTTAAATGTTATAGTTTTAAGTAGTTTTAAAGATGCTACTTTTACACTTTTACTGGAGTAAAAAGCTTTAGTTAATACTCTAACTTCTAGAAAAGTGTTTTTAAACAACAGATTTTTACTTTTTCTTGAGTAATAAACATTAATACTTTTGACACCTCTGTTGATTAATAAATATTTTTACTTGGCCATAGTTATTTAGGACCAGCTGTTTTCAGGGATGTATGTCGCTATTCAAATGTTTGTAGTTGGAAGGCATAACTGCATAAAATGTCCAAATTTTCCCAGATATCCCAGAGAGATCTGCAATCAACAACAATTATTGAGATTTCCAGAGGACTTCACCATTATAATTCACCAGAGCTATAGTTAAACTGACAATGCCCACATGCATGGCAGTTGGATGTTGGAATACATTGGGTAAAATTGGAGAGTTATTTCACCTTTCCGGTTCATGATCCTCCACGGGTTCATTGTTGGATTGCCAACTTGAAGAGGGAAAAAAAACACATCATTAATCCGTTATTCTCTGCTTCACATAGTGTACTGGTCATCACCATCATGGATAATAACACGTTGTGGTAAACACCAGGGGCGGATTTAGGCAACACTAGGCAGTTGCCTAGGGCCATAAGTTCCTGGGGGCCCCATACAACTTTGTTTACATGTATGGTTAATCATTGTTTGTGCACAGTAATTATGTTTTTAATAAAAATCC